CCTCCATCACTGAAGCAAGCAAGCCTCATGTTCGCTTCAAGCTGCCTGGCTGCCGGCTGCCATCTTGGCTGGCAGTTAATTTGCATATCGTCCTGATTAGCCAATGGGAAGGGTAGCGGAGGTATGGCTAATTACCATGTTTCTCTATTATTAGATAGGATTGCCTGTGTGCGTCATATGTACCGGCTGTCCAGTCAGTCTGCCGGTCGGCCGGATCTACGGTCGGTCACTGAGCCTTTCGTATATATTTATAGATGAGTGGGTTACCAAAGAGATCAAGGAAGAAATAAAAAATTACCTGAAACAACTGAAAATGAACACACAACTACCCAAAACCTATGGGATAAGGTGAAAGCAATCCTGAGAGGGAAGTTGATAGCATTACAAGCCTATATCAAGAAACCAGAAAAAGAACTAATAAACTATCTAACCCAGTGGTTCTCAACCTTCCTAATGCCGCGACCCTTTAATACAGTTCCTCATGTTGTGGTGACCCCCAATTTCATTGTTACAAATTGAACATAATTAAAGCATAGCTATTAATCACAAAAACAATATGTAATTATATATGTGTTTTCCAATGGTCTTAGGCGACCCCTGTGAAAGGGTCGTTCGACCCCCAAAGGGGTTGTGACCCACAGGTTGAGAACTGCTGATCTAACCCTACAACTAAATGACTTAGAGAACAGCAGGAAAAGCCCATAGGAAGTAGAAGGAAGGAAATAATAAAGATCAGAGTGGAAATAAATGACATATAGACTAAAAAAAAGTTTGGTCAATGAACCCCAGAACTGATTCTTTGAAAAGATAAACAAGATTGATGAACCCCTAGACAAACTCATCGAGAAACAAAGAGAGAGGACCCAAATAAACAAAATAGGAAATGAAAGAAGCAATATAACAATGGATACCACAGAAATACAAAAGGTTGTAAGAAATACTATTAACAATATATGCCACAAACTGGACAACCTGGGCTAAAAGGACAAATTACTAGAAACATACAATCTTCCAAATCTCAATCAGGAAGAATCAGAAAACCTGAATAGACCAATAAGAACTGATGAAACTGAAGCGCTAATTAAAAGACTTCCAGCAAACAAAAGTCTTGACTGCATGGATTTACGGGTGAATTTTACCAAACATTCAAAGAAGAACTAACACCTATTCTCCTCAAACTATTCCTAAAAATTCAAGAGGAAGGAACACTTCCAAGTTCTTTTTAAGAAGCCAGCATTATCCTCATTTCAAAACCAGATAAAGAAACTACAAAAAAAAATTACAGGCAATATCCCTGATGAACACAGATGCTAAAATCGTAAACAAAATATTAGCAAATTGGATTCAGCAATTTATGAAAAAGATCATACACCATGATCAAATGAGATTTATTCCAGAGATGCAGGGCTTCTACAATATTCACAAATCAATAAACATGATACATCACACAAAGAAGTTGAAAGATGAAAATCACATGATCATAGCAATAGATGCAGAAAAAGCATTCATCAAACCCAGCACCCCTTTTTGATAAAAATCCTCAACAAAGTGGGAATAGAGGGATGGGACCTCAACATAATAAACCTACAACCAACATAATACTCAGTGGGCAAAAACTAAAAGCCTTTCCCTTAAGAACAGGAAAAAAGACAAAGATGTCCACTTTCACCACTCTTATTCAACATAGTACTGGAAGTCCTAGCCACAGCAATCAGACAAGAAGAAGATATAAAAAGCATCCAAATTGGAAAGGAGGAAGGAAAACTATCAGTATTCACAGATGGCATGATATTGTATATTGAAAACCCTAAAGACTCCACCAAAAAAAGCTACTAAACTTAATAAATGAATTCAGCAAGGTAGGAGGATACAAAATCAACATCTACAAGTCAATGTCATTTTTATAC